GGGGGGGGGGGGGGGGGGAGTCGGGAGGGCTCTAAAACCTCCACTCGCTCATAGAGGCTGATTGAGGACTGGTCTAAAACCCAGGCATGTGAATCATTACGGGCTCTACCACTTTCACATACACCTCTCCACTAAGAGGAAGTGGTGTCTCCACCCTCTAAGGTCACAGCTCAACAAGAGCAACTCTCACTGCTGAATGAGATCCAGATTTCAATGCTGGGCTTTGTGTGGGCAAGCCACGGCACACTGCTGTCATATAAAGGCTGTTATTGTAACACCCTTAGTAAAGTGTTTTGGTGCACCTCCACACATACAACACAGTGTCAGGACCATAGCAGATACTGTTAGGCCAGATCAATGGATCAATGGTTGCATTGAATTGCAGGCAGAAAGTGTGGGAGTTCCTGTGTTTGAGGAGGTTTTATTGAGCTCCAGTGTAGGACTTCACGTCAAATTGATTCTGTTCGTCCAGGTGCATATGTGTGTGTAAAATTCCTCCCCCTGCAAGAAGACTGTGTGCTCACCAACCAAGAGTAATGGCTGCCAGCCTATCGGTCAGCAAACTACTTTGGTTCAGAAATGACTATATAATAACTATTGCAGGGATTGCCAGGGAATTTTGTACGGACATTAATGGTCCCCAGAGGATGAATTATGAAGACTTTAAATTTTCCTCTAGCATCATCATCAGGTTGAAATTTTAGTTTGTCCAGTACTTTGGTTTATGACCAAGTACCTGCAGAACTAACCACATTCCCTCAGCTGTAGTGTCCTGTTGAGCTGTTTCAGGGCTAATTAACAAATGTTAGCATGCTAACATGCTAAACAAAGATGATAATCATGGTAAACATTACACCTGTTGGTACTGTTATTTTGAGTATGTTAGCATGACATTAGCGTTTCGTCCTAAGCACTGCTGTGCCTGAGAGTCTGCAGAGCATGGCTGTAGACTCTTAGGCTTTTTTCTTTGTGGCAGCTATTATTTAAACACAGCACAGTGTCATGTTCACAAATGAGATAGATAAGCTTTATCCTTGTTGTACCATGTTTGTTCATGTGCTAGTGTGGTTTGATAGCTGCTGGTATCACAGTGCTGTTTGAGTTAGTGCGTATGTCTGTGTTATGGTTTATGGTTTTCTTCCCCCTTTAAGTGCTGCAGTGATTGTGTGCTTTTCACATGTCAAACCAACAGAAAACCGGCCAGTTGTTTGTGTTGATGTTTGATAAGCCAGTCATTCATAAAAGAAGACGAAAAAGTACTCTACTAGATCAAATAGACATCTGCTCTCTATCAGAGCAGCTTTTCCAAATATTGCAGACCTAAAACATCAATATGAGTCTTAATAATGATTCAAAATTCAGGTACTTCTTGGTATTATTATTATGTAACAATGAGCCTAATACTTGGCAGCCCTAGCCTTTGAAATGAAATGTTTGTGGCACCACTCCAGTTCCACTGACAGCATTGTAGACTAGTTATTAGTATCTCATTTGCACAGCAGATTAAATCAGAGGTATGTGTCTCAGCTGAGTATGAGAAAAGGCCTCCAGCACAGTTCTAGCTATCACCCTCAAGACTCAAATGAGATTCTGGTCCACTGATTTTCTTTTAGCTCTGATACATGTACCCTACATGTCACTGTTATACTGTGTGACTTAGAAGTATTTTCACTTTGAACTGTTATTTCAAAAGTCTTCTCTTGGTGTAAAAAAAATCAGAATTATCCACCACGCACTGGAATGACTTCGCCGGCAGCTTCCTCAGGTTCGCTCAGCAAACGATGTATTAGCTTGTTTGAGTGTTTGTGAAATTGATTGAGCATGTGAAAAGGTGGTAGAATAATCTAAGCATATGCCTTTTCTCAGTCCTCTGTTGGTTTTTGATCAAAGCCAAACCACTGAGTTAGAATGATTTATAGTGACTGGAACAGCAGTCTTTTTTGTCATTTCTCTGAGGACTTCAGCACACATCAATATGTCATTTGGGTCAGTTTCTTAACTGTTAATATTTAAAACAAAAAATACTCTGTCCCCGCTGACGTCAGGCTGTCCTCTCACCGAGGGAACTGACTGTTATTGGAGCTGTTTTTGTTGTCGCAGTGGCTGTGATCTTGCTCCCCTGACGTCACCTACGTGTCGCACTCAGGAGATCATGGCAAAGAGCTCTAAAGCTGATGATTGCTGGTTTCCTGGAGACCACAGGCAGCAGATTTGATGTTGTTTTTCCCCACTGAATGGCCAACAATATGGGGAGATTATAAAATCATGTCCCTGGAGTATACTTGGATTTAGTGTTCTAATGAAAACAAGTATTAATACCCACCACTTATGTCATATTAAGGTGATCCACACAGCACAATTGCCTTTTAGATCTTTATTAAGCTCCGATTGCATATGTAATAAACCTCCTCATGTTTATGTTCTGTAATTAACACATTTTGCCTGATCTGAGAACTGCCCATATGGGAGGCATGAGGTAGAACCACAAGGTGTTGAATATTTCATTGTTACTGGATCAGGTTGTGTCATGGTAAAGCCCTGTAGAGAAGGCCATAGATCACATCAGTCTGACGTCTTATCACCAGCCAGCCATCCTCCTTCCTCCTCCCCAAGGCACAGAAGATACAGTTAGGATCAAGTATATTCTGTCTGATCAAATTGTACCTGTGTAAACCAATATTATCTGAGGTTGGGACAATTAAGCGGGAACTGCAGCCTCCTTGGAGGAGTGAAAACTAAATCAGAAGATATTAAATATAAGTCTTCACATATGTTTCTGTGTCTTGACATTGACATTGAAATCTAATAGCTAAAGGACAATGTCAAAAGAATAAAACACAAAAGATAGAGAGTAGATGATGCTCCTTGTTGCCGATAAATCTTGTAACACTACAGTCAATAGGAAGAATTATTTTATGATCCAAAACTTAGCAGAGGAAAGTTACTCCAGGGTGAAAGTTAAATAAAGTTTTATGGTTACTTTGAAAATATAAAGATATTCTGTCACATTTTGATAGAATGAATGAATTCTACTTTCAAAAGGCACAAAATGTACAATAACTAGCGATGCCCTGGGTCTACCCAGCCTCGTAAGAAATCAGGAAGGCTGCAGAAACCACAGGCCAGCGTCTTATCTTTTTGTTAGGTGGAAAAACCATCAGCGATAACATTAACACTGGTAAGTGTGCACTAAGTGCTACTGTAGCTAACCACTTAGTGCACACAACAAGCTGAGAAACTGCAGCATGAGTCAGACCTCTATTATCAGTCCAAACAGCAGTCATACTAACACAAGAGGTCAGTTGCATTTTTACCTCTGAACCACTACGGACTGGACTCAAGTAGAAACTGTTGAAAGCTCCAAGAGTTTAGGGTCAAATAAAAAAAAGGGAGACTGATATCAGTCTGAAGGCTCAGTCAGAATTGGAGATTATGCTTGTCTTATTATTGATTGGTGAACCAGGGGACAAGATGGTCTTTTCTTATGAGGTTGCGTAGGAAAATCTTTCACCTGTAATTACATTAACAAGATGCATTTTGAAAGTAACGTCATGAAGCTCTTATCTGTGTCCTTTTACAGGCAGCTTGCTATCGTGCTATATCCTAAATGTACTTCAATGGATATTAGGAATATAGAATAAGAATCTATTTATACTTGCATTCAGCAAATTGTTTTACTGTTTATGTTGCAGATGGCAGTCGTCGTCAGTCAGTCCACCACATGGTCACCAGAAGATGTACTGACTTTGGTGATCCTGGGATTTTTCATTAAGTTTTCACTAATCTTGAGAAATATTACAACATCTACTAGACGGATTCACACAAAAAACTATAAACTGGCCAGGATAATTTATCAGCCAATATGAGTTTATTTTAGATTAAATATGAGTGGGGCTATAGTAGTAAGCTTGATAATGCTAATCATTTGATATTTTTTTGGCACCATCATCGAGCATTGTCTTTTTGACCATAAAAGCATGGTGATGTTCGCATTTAGCTCAAAGCACTGCTGTGCTGCTGAGTGTCCTCACAGCTTCTAGAGGGGATATAGATGACACAAAACGCAGTATCAGGCCCTTAAAATACATTTTAACATGATGGATGCCCTAGCCTAAGGTATTAACAATAAGACTAAATTAAGGATGGCCCCATAAATCATAAGATAAAACCCTAAGCTGAGCATAAGAAAACAGAAGATAAGGATATTGCACAAGCATGGAACTCTAAGTATGCAATCCCTCTTGAACTTGAAAGATACACTCTGAGCTAACCCTCTTGTAAAGGTCAGCCTCTGGAGAAAAATAATGCTGGGTAGGTGAAGTAAATCTTGTGGTTTCCGTCTTTGGTAATCTATATTGATATTGAGGAGAAAAACATTTACTTTGTTTTGTCAGTGACAAAGAGGCACTACTTTCACTCTTCCAGTGTTGCAGAGACATTTTCTTGCAGACATCAGTTGCAGTTTGGGTTTGTGTACACATAACACAAGCTTGTTCTCAATAAAATCTTTGTGCTTTTCCTGCCCTTTGCGTCTTCAGTAGAGTGTAGACACTCATCAGAGTTGTCTTTGGGGTGATGAGGAGAAAGCAGAGTTTAGATGAGGTCAATAAAAAACAAGGTCAGTGATGTAACAGAAATAATGAATCTCATTATGAAGGTGGATCATGAAGTAGACGCTCAGTAGGGTGCCGCTCACTCCCATTGTGAGAAAAGGACTGGTGTCTTTCTTCTTTTCTTTCCGCCGCCCCATTTTTGCTCCTACCATCTGGTTCAATGCGTACAGTGAACCTTACAGTGGGATAAGAAAATACATTTTCTTACTTATTTCCACTTAAATTGGAGCTGTTACAACATAATGATGATATGCATTTTACGTTGGTTGTGAGTGATGACTATGTCTGTGAATTATATACTTTGGTTGTGTTGTATAAGAAATTATATTTGATTTTCTTTCTCTCCTCTCAGGGACAAGTGGAGGACCATGTAAGGTTACAAGAAACCAATGCTCCTGAAGACGCAGAGTTTTATGTCGTTGTACAAGGCTCAACGCTTACACATGTGACGGGAGCAAAAAGAGGAGATGATGGGCTGACCCTCTGCTTCACAGTTCCCGGTATGTCCTACAACAACACTCACTCAGATTTCTCTTGGTGGCCTGTCGTTTTCTCACTACCACCTATCATGACTTATCTCCCATAGGCCATGCCCTTGCGGAAGTTGTCTCTGTCACATCCTACTTTTGCGCAGAGGACCAAGTCAAGCCATGCAAGGGGGAAGTATCTCTTGAATACCTCAGCGACGTTGCTCAGGAAGCTGCAGAGTACCTGAGTGCAAGCAGGGACCAGCTTGGCCCCCAGAGCTACCTAGAAGTCCTGAATAGGTTCTCCACGTGGACGCAGGCTGCGGACGAGGAGCTCCCTACTGTAGGGTCAGACTGCGGTGAGAAGGATGTGCGGCGCAGACAGAGTTCAGGTGATGAAGCTGGTCTCAGGCAGCTGGATGAGAAGATCACGCAGGCCATGGCCAACATGGATTACCCTCCGCAGTGGAAGAACATTGACAGTCAGCCTAGAGAAGGTAATGAAATAGAAAGTTGGAGTGTTGTGGTCTCTAGTAGGTTGCCAGAGGTCCTTTCCTGTCATCAATGTTTTCTGACACTTCCAAAGCACAGATAGATCTAGATTGTGCTGTATGAATCATTGAAACTTCAAAAACCAAACTAGTCTGACCAAAAAAAAGCACATTCAGGAGGTCTGCATCTGTTTGGATGTATTTCAGTCTCCTAGATGAGTTAAGGATGTTCAGCCACAAATCCTAGAGGCCTCATCCACACACAGTTGTGCTCTGCTACTTCCTGGAACATAGAAAAACCACAGAGGTCAAACATCAGGGATTCCCCTCTGCTCAGCAGATATGAGGAACACTCTTGAGTGAGTGGCAAAAAGCAACTCTTCAATTTCCAAAAGACTGTTTTACATTTTTTGCTGTTGTTGCTGTTATGTACTTCCTGGAGATGTTCCTAATGGCTGGTTCACCCAAGTTCAAAAACACATTTTTAGTGACTTTACTCTAGGTAGTTTACCCAGGTTTTAAGAGATCCATCCTGTTTTCATAGGGACTATTTCTTCAGTAGAAAGGAGCTCACTCATCCAGAGTGATGTTTTTAACCCTTAGATGAATAGGTCATTCGAACCGACACGCTACTACAAGTGGGTCAGATATGACCTATATTAGAATTGGTTATTCATGATATATCATCATATTTTTGCTCAAACAAATTACCTGATTTCCACACAAGCGTTTTTTTAGTTTATGTTTATTTGTCATTTCATAATCTCAGATATCTTGATAGCACTAGGTTTTTTTTTTGTAATTTGTGTGAACTGGCCCTTTATCAAACAAACAATATTAGTTCTTCAGGTTAATATAGTGGTGTTTAGAAGGTTTCAAACTCGACATGAGACCTGACTGCACAGCCTCTTTCATCACATGATGTGCAGGTCCAGCCAGCCAGCCAGCCAGAGGCCGGTGTGCTCCAAAGAAGGAGCAATTACTGCCATTATTCCTCTTCAGTCAGATTAGACTTGTCTTGCAGACCTCTGTGTCTGTTAAATCAACTTCCACAATCCTCCTCTGCACTGCACTTCACACCACAGCTGTATCAGAGTTGTTTCTGGCGTCTGGCCTCAGATTTTGTTATTTATGATGTTTCATTTTTTCAAAGAAGTCTCTCCACATTGTTAGGAACTGAGGGTGAAACACTCATAGCTTTTCAAGGTATTGCTAAATATTGAACAGAGGTGCAGTGAGATTAAGACATTGAAGAGAATGCCTTAGTATGGAAAATCATACTGAGTTGATAGAGTTGGTGCAGATAGTTTATTGCCTCCTGAGAGTTCCAGATTTTTTTATTTAGCATGGGAAGAAAAAGGAAATAAGGCTGTCTGAGACAGACTGGATCAGCCCTCTGCTGATTCAGTCTTAGATGGTATCCTCTCAACAGACAGCAGCATAGTATATTATGTACATGGCTTGCTTCAAAAAACAAATGTATATGCAAAACATGGGCGAGGTGAAAAATGCAAAGTAGCTGTCGGCCCCTAGTCTCTCAATGCGCTATTTACTTGTCTATTTAACAATGACATTCTTGTTTGTTGAACTTTGCATGAAGAGCATGTTCAGTATTCACTCCTCTCAGTTGGTTGAAACTGGGTCACAATTAACGGCGCCACTGTGGAGGTGACGGGGCGTTTCAGTTCATCTCAGGGCTCCAGCAACAAATTAGAGGAAAAGGAGAAAATAAGAGTTGTTTTCTCCTGCTCATTGTTTCTGGGTTCAAAAGATAGCACCATGGCAACCTTCAGCTCTCACACTTAGAGGGAAGGCCCAAAGATAAAGTACCTCTGGCCCTCTCGGAAACAGTCTTTCATCTTGTGCTTACAAAACAACAAGGGTGTATATGGAGGATTTGTGACAAGCTGTTGCCACCCTGTGCTCCTGCATGATTTTAGCCTAGAGAGCTTGTGTTAAAGAATCATTCAGAGTCACTGTGAATCGGGACTGTTTATCTGCCCTTATACTTGCTGTTTATGCTCCCTTATACTCCACTGCACACAAGGCAAAAGGCAGCCACTGTTTCACAGCAGGTGTTGGCTCAGTGAAACATCCAGTTTTTCTGGGTAGTAATATTATTGATATACTGCAGACCTTAAGCCTTTCATTCCCTAATCTGCACAGTTTGCTACTGTCTCACATTCTGTACATATGCAGCAGATGATCCGTACATCTGCACACAGTTGAGAGAGCATGTGTAGAATGCCAAACCCTGATTAATTTGAAGGTTAATGGAAAGGTTTACTCTGCATACTGTAAGGGGCTGATGCTTCTATCAATTTGGGAGTTGTTGATAATGATATATTAGTAATTTGTTTTTCTTAAGTATGCATGATTAGGATATTAAACCCCTGTATGCAAATTTGTTTTAAGATGAAAAGCCTTTCATAGTTTCTAAATTCCTCTATTCATTTCAGGTAAAACTGCACTACACTCTTTGTTTGTTTGTCTTTCCCTGCATCTCATTACCTCTTCAATCTTTGTCTCTCCCTCTAGCAGCTGAGCTTCAGCCCAAAGAAACCCTCCTTCACCTCGCAGTGCGTTTGGGTTTGGTCCATCTCTCCCGTTTCTTAATTCACCAACCAAGAGGTCAAAGGGCATTGACTTTACCCAATCAGGAGGGGGACACACCCCTCCAGCTGGCTCAGAAGGATGGACAGCATGCCATGTTCAGGGTGCTGGCAGCGTAAGTCTATGATTTTATCTTATCTCGCATTTGTGAGAATGCCATAAGTACATACATGGAATAATGTGTTCCTTCCCAGAAAAACACCTTCAGTTTCATCTAGGATTAGTTTTTTTAAAGGCAATTTATTTAAGAAGTTTTAAGGCTTTCTGGAACCATTTTCAATTGCAAGTGAAGCTCATGCTATTATTTTATGATATTAATAAGCTGCTGGAAACAACACATCATCTATAACCATGTTAGTCATGACTTAGACATTATCAGTAGAGGGAGGCCCATCACTTTATCAGAAGACCACACATGCAAACATCAAACACCTTTGTCTTATCAGAAATTTTTCATTGGTAAAATAACACACATACAACATAAATCTGCTCGATAAGCAAAGAAAAACACGAGACTCAGCTAAAACCATCTGTCCTTTATAGACAACTACAGAAATCTACTCAAGCAGCAAAAGAAAATAGCACTGTAGAGTTCCTTCAGACGTCATATTGTATGGTATTAGAAAGTAACAGGAGCTGTATGTGGAATAGATTAGTAAGGACTGAAATGTACACAAAATTCTCCTTTAAACATCTAAAATGTGTTTAACTTAACTTAAGTTGTACAGATAGAGCTTGAGAAGGCAAAGTAAATGATGACTAATGAAGATTTCTGATAAGGCTTATTCATAGGGGAGGCTCCTCTCTGTTCTCATTAAATTCACTTTATGTTAACCTCACCTCCTCTGATATGTATTCTAATTGTGGGTGCGTCTTTCTCTCGCCTCATCAGTCCTCCAGGTCCTGTAGTCGGCCCTGTTCCAGGTGTGTGGTGTGTGTGGTCCGACAACTCCTGCATGCTCAGGTTTTGTCCCAGGACAGACTCTCTGACCCTGACTGTGCGGCAGACACCCGGCAGCTGCCCTCAGGATGGCATCACGATCCTCCGAGACAGACTGGGAGACAAAAGCATCCTCAAACTGGTGAGAGTGAACCACCTTTGTTTAAAATCCTTATCACAATCACATCTGCTATACAATATAGGACACAAATGGCTAATAAATATTCCCATGCGTCTCTGTGCATGATGTAATGTGCCGTTGCCGTCGAGATAACGCCATTTGCACCAGTTTTGTTTGGGCTTGTGTAAACAGTAAACCCTTTGACTCTCACACCCTTTAACGTGCAATCATACATTTTGATAAGGGTTGAGCAAGTAACAGTAAACACAACACTGCAGCGATTGCAGTTTGTAAATCAGAGGGCATGAAGGTATAATATAAAAAGGATAGGCAGATCAAGATGCAGTAATAGTAACTCGTTCAGAACTAACTTGCATTATGTTATGAAATATTGATCTCATTAGTCACTCTACAGATTTTTGCTGAAGCAGTTTTACAGCTCTTGTAGTATGACCATAAAACTGTATAACATCACAAATCTTTGCTTTTGTCTATTATTTGCTGATTTCCTTGTATAATTTACAGTGCGACTGTGTTAACTTAAGATCTGTTATTGTTCCAGATCAATGTGTTCAGAGCTGATAGTGAGGTAGACAAGGGAAGCAAAGACGAATTCCTTCCTAGTGATGAAGGTAAGGTGATTTTATTAATTAAATTCCTGATTACAGGGGCCATTTATTACCTTCAGACTTTGCAGCCGTTTCATAATGAGGTTTGCTTATCAGTGACTATCCTGATTAACCTGCATGCGAAAGTAGTTAAGTGCAATGCTACATCAAGAATTTCTTAGCAGAATTACTTATTTTACAATAAAAAGTACAAGTACTTGAACCTGTACTCAACAAGTATGTACTTGTAATCAAGTGTGTGTTTACCCATGATACTCCTACTTGAGACACTAAATCCAGACATGTGGATTACCTGCATTCTCCCTTATGTGCCACATGCTAGCTGTCCCATGGATGTAGCAGCTGTGTAACATGAGCTGTAATAAATAAGCGTCACACACACGCAGTGACACACACGCAGAGATACGAGAGACACACAGTGACAGAAACTCTTCAGGACTCACAGATGTAATGTTTAGTCCTTAAATTTGTTGTCAATTAGTTGATTTGATTTTTTTTAATTGATTTATAACAATTTGGATAATCCATTAATTATAATATTTATTTAACATATGATTTGGTTTCTTAATGCAGATTTTCTCTGTTTTTATGTCACTCTAAACTAAATATATTTGATTATGGACTGTTGTTTTGACTTCTGCAAAATAAGCAATTTAAACACGTCACCTCAAGCTCTGGGAAATTGTGATGACCATTTTCTTTACTCTTTTCTTACACTTAACGATCAACAGATTGCTCAATAATACAAATAATCATTAGCCCTGGTATTGCCAACCCTGCATGCACAAACAGCTCTTATTTGCTGTCTGTGTGCGGTGGTATGCAGAGTGCAGAGACTTCACTGAAGAGCGGCGGAAAACAAACCACCACATCCACTTGAGCAAACATTTGTATGTTCAGACATCCATCACTTACAACCTAAAGAGACTAAGAAAACATTTCCAACAGACACCATAAAAGGAGCACTCTCCTTTACACGTGTGTTTCTTCTTCTTCTGAGAGTACAGAGAAAACTTAAGGGAGCAGATTGTGTTATTTTTTCCTGGGGTGACATGCTCAGGCTGGCATGCAACCACACACAGAGAGAGACCCTTGCAGATCTTCAGTGCTGCCATTACCTCTTTTATTTTTCGGTCTGCCTTTCTCTTTCAAACACACTCAACATGCACACACATTTGGTAGCTCTCAATTAACCTGTGACCACTGTTTTTGGTAACCATAGAGATGGCAGATGGCAGTATCGACTCATAAAGGGAAGCAGTAGGTGTACCTTAGTATTGACCTTAACCCTGTCCCGTCTTCAGCAGCCATCCATTAATCCTCTCGAAATAACAACCTCACAGTAGGGAGTATGTGCTCTTCCTCTGGACCTGCTGCTTTGCACGAGCACAACATCTCATTGGCCAGTTTTCCATTCCTGGATAGTAGAGTCATATCCAGAGGACCTGACTGTTCTTGGGAGGAGGAGGAGAGCATGTCATGCATCAACTTCTGGTTAAATATTTTTATTTTGCACAGGCATTAGCAAGGAGCTCCGAGTGGAAGAGCATGTGCTGGTGGACAATGTGAGTATACATACAGATACATGTGTGAGTCTGTGGTACTGAGTGTGTTGTGTGTCTGTAAATGTTTATAGATTTGCCTTAAAGTTTTTTGCTGGTTCTTTGCATGCAACTGGGCATGTATCTGTGTTGTTTTAAAGTAAACAATAGTTGAATTTTCTTAAGAGCAATGCGCCCTCTGTTGTGCTTTTTTTCCGGTTTGTGTGAAGGTTTTTGAAGAACAGCTTGTTCTGTCTTTGGATGACGACGATGATGTTGAAGAGTACACATCCTCATTATATGGTAATTCTACTCTTCTCTCTCTCAATCTATTTATATCAAGGATTAAAGATAAATGAATTATTTACTTGCTCAACATTTTGGCTCAGCAAACACAACAGCAACTTATCAAGACCAAAATTTCCATTTTAATATTATGGAAATAATACTTTGGCATCTGTCTTCCATTGCTGGGTAATAGAGTCATATCCAGAGGACCTGATGTCGTGCCGTCAACACGACGTGTGTCATGCATCAACATTTGGTTACATAAGTATTTTTATTTTGCAAAGGCATAAGCAGAAAAGCACCATGTGGCTTAAATGATGAACTGGTAATTCATAAAAAAACACAGCAACATATTTGTGGCTGTACTGAACAGCAGGGTGTGGGAACAACACATAATAAGCTGGTTGAGAAGCCCTGATGGGAATGTTTTCTCTTGTGGCGTTGGCATAATATGGAGAGCTCTGTTTTGAATCACATCATAGGAAATCAATATACTTACTGTTGCACAGACAGAAATTCACCTTTGTCTTAGGTTGATGAGCAGTTTTTGATTAAATGGATGTATTATCCTCCGGGAGTCTGCCTTCAGGCGGCGCGGGTTGGGGTCTACCCTTTGGCTTCCACTATGACACAGTCTGAGACTTCAGAAATCTGCCCTGTCACTGGGACAAAGACAGGAATGGGGTCAGGCTTGTCCCACTCAAACTCTGTCTGAGCTGGTAAATGCCCCCCTCCCCTCTGGCTTGTCGCCCTGCCATCCCCTCCCCCGACTCCCCCTGGACAGTGGAGCTCTGTACTTGAATTGAGAGGGGGGATGTTAACAAGCTCAAATATCGTAGGTTTACAAAAGCTGACATTTTAGGCGAGCTACATACATTAAGCTTGAATTCTCTTTAACCACACACGTGCACACAAGATTGTACAGGCCTGGCTATCTGAAACACTCATAGGCTAGTAAAACCTTTGAAGAGGATGCTCAAAATGTTTCAGGTGTTGCCACGGTTACTGTGAATGTTAATTTCCTGTGTGTTGTTGTGGAAGAATGAAGAGTTTGTTGTAAACTCTAGAGGGACCCTGGTGCTGCTGAATGTAGCCTATAAACTTTGTGACCATAAACTGCAGTGTGTCTCCTTCGTGAAGCAGTGATGAGTGACAACACAGGAGCATTGATCCCCCTTAAGCAGACTGCAGATTCTTTGGTATTGCTCAAGTCATCAAACTCACTGTTGAGCTGAATACTTTTGTTGGGATGAGAAGTGCCTCGAGGACGCTGTGGTACAAAGTTGTCATCCAGAGTTATTGTTTTTTCCAGATCTGTTGAAATGATCGTAAGTTTTTCTCTGGTTTCACTGACATAACTCAGGAGTGTCAGTTATTGTTGGACCTAGCCAGTGTGACAATTAGTCTACCAGCTGAGACTGGTGCTGCCTCAATCTTTCACCATCCTGTAAATGAAACAGAGGAGAGATTTGTGTGGAAAGAGGTATGCACACTGACAGTTTGATTTGAGCAAATAGACTACAACAGGCAGACAGAGACATAGAGAAAACGAGATACACACGATGAGTGGATATAAGAAGTCTGCCTTGTATGTTTTAGCTCCATGCTAATGGCTTCACTGTGTGGGAGCAGCAGAGAGGAAATGCCTCTGTGATGCCCAGGATTTCCCTTACATTAATGCTGGCATGGTTGGTCCAAACATCAAAGTCTTGGTGGAAAGTGCACAGAGAGCTATAAAAATGGCTTCTCATCAAGGGAGGTTATTTTCCACATTGTTATAGTTGAAATACTTTTACATTTTTTACACTTTAACTTGAGAAGATGCTACTTTGTACTTCTACTTTATTACATCTCAGAGGGAAATATAAGTGCACTATATACGCTTGACTGCTATAGTTTCTTGTGTCTCATGTTAAAAAGTAACAACACCAGCCTGATTGGTACTAAGGATGTGCATCTGTAAACTGAGAAGAAAGCGAGATGGCTCACTCATTAGCTATTTCCATCATCAAAAGAATTATGTGTTAATTAAGAATGTTATTGAATAAGACTGCAGTCTGATGGGTTATATGATATGGTGTATACACGGTGATTTATATATACTATATAAATCGTGTATGTCATTTTTTGACTTTATGTATGGGATTGTTCCCTACGGAGTCTTTTTTGGCCCCTATGGCATCATGTAACTTGCAATATCACAGTTTGCTGCTGAGGCTTTGCAGACGTGCGGTTCAGCGCTGATCCTGGGGGCCTGCACTAGATTACTGCTCGGTGGGATAAAAATAAAAAATCTGTCAGCAGCAACAGTTTTTTCAACTTAGTTTAGCATGTTAGCATGCTAACATTAATAAGCACTAAACACAGAGTATAGTTGAGGCTGATTGGAATGTCATTGTTTTGCTATGCATGTCGCCTCTGGAGACTCACCTGTACTGGGGCCAAAAATAAAGAAGATTCTGAACAGAGGAGTTTTCTGTGATAAACACTGGTTTTAAACAGCTCAGGTGTTATAGTCATGTATTTTTTACCCTGTGTATCAATATCATTAAGAGAGGGTGTGTACATGAGTATTGTTCAGCAAATAAATGACTCAACAAAAAGCCAATAATCCTGTTTTTTCCAGCAAATAGAGAGCCTGCTGGTAAGGTTGATATGTGGAGATTTCTATGAAAACAAACCTTTAAAGGTCATACAGGGAGCAGGTATGCAGTGTCTCATCCCATTTTCCTTTCTTTAATCTTAAGTTTTGACATTTAAATGATGAAAGATCAATGAATTATGGCACAATGATCTGGAATTACTAGAGAGAAGCAGAACAGAAGGCTTATCAGAACTGAAGTCGATATATTATTAAATGTTGGTTTATTTTTTCTTTTCTGGCATTTTAAAGTTTTCTCTTTTATATGGTTGTTGATGTGTTTTTATTGTCTGGTTAAAAGCACTGAGAGCTGCTGTCTGTGTTCAGCCAGACTTTTAAGTGTCTGGCTGCTGCTAGGATGAATAATGGTAACGAAAAGTGGCTTCTCACCATGTTCTGTAGCAGTAAATCATTCAGCAGGATCAAAACAAATTCCTGGTAGACATCTTGTACAGTACAGTACCGTAGAGTCGTTGATCTTAACAGGGAAAAAGGAGTGGAGACAAAGAGAAGTTGTTTGAATGATTATAAACTATACTGAAGCTATCCTGAGATTCTACTGTGTGTTTATCACAGTAAATGGGCATCCCGTGCAGTCCAGTGGAGTCCAGAGCCAGTTCACCCAGTGTGCTACAGACCCTCTGCTCTCCATGATCAACACCAGCAATCAGACCATCACACAGCAGACGCAGGTCATACATCAACCTCTTCCTTTAAACCCCAAATGATCATTTAATCTTCTCTGTTTTGCTACTTTTTAAAATGTATTTCTCCATTATCCTCTCTTCTTTTACCTCAGGCGGAAGATGCCGACATCCAGTACAGCGTCAGCGGAGTGACCAGGGAGAGCACAGGGACAGACAGCGGGTTATGGGATACAGTAGACTCAGAAGATCTCTTGCTAGCAACCGACACTCCTCCACCCTATCCTGAAGATTTCTACTCTCCCTGTTCTCCCCCACTCTCACCTGCTGACCAGGCCCTCGCCAGGCTGAACCGTCCCGCCTCCTCTGAGACGACCACCCAGAGAGAAAGTCCACCCATGGACAGCTGTGACCTCAGGTATTAAATATCTCCAATCAGAAGGTAGAGTTTTCCCGTTGCCGGTGAGTCTCTGTGTTTAACTGGTCGTTTATTCCTCCAGTCCCAGTCTAGTGGCTCTGGAAGTGGACAGTGAAGAGGACAGCACTGAGACAAAGTCTCCGCTTTCCCCGCTCTCTTCAGATGTTGAGAAAAGTGAGGTCAAAAGGGAAAGCTGTCGTCCCTCCCCTGACCTCACTTGCACCCGCAGCCAATCGGCCTCCTCAGCATGTGAACCCACCACAAAAGTAAACCACCATGTCACCATCCTCTCACCCACGTCATCAGATATTTTCACTTCATTATTCTTAAGTCTTATGTTTTTTTTTCAATATTTTTTCATTGTCTAGGAACTGGGTGACCCGGGGATTCGACTGCGTTCGTATTCCTACTCTTCCCCTAAAATCAGCTTGCGTCCTGCTCGTTTTTCCCGGGACAACCACACTTCAGATATCAGCCATGGTCAGTAACACTGGGACCGTTTACTTCCTCATTTGGTTAGAAATCTAGTCTAACTCTTAACTAACAATGTTTCCATGGACCCAGAACTGACTTGATTTGTTTGGTGTGTCACTAATGGTGTAGTCTCATACAAGATTGATTGCAGCTGACTTTTTACCTTTTGTTATTTTAAACCTGCTTTTAACTGTAGAAAGCCTCCTTACTAACATAGTGCAGTCAACTCCCAAAATGTGCTTAAAGAGATAGTTGCTATTCGCTTTCTTGCCATGAGAAGATCAATAAATATGAAGCTACAGAGAGAAGACGCTTAGCTTAGCTTAGCTTAATATTGGACTGGAAGCAGGGGGAATCAGCTAGGAGTTTTGTCCTCAGACAAGGTTGTTATAGCATTTCTGAAAAAACACAAGAGACGTAAGACTGGCATTGATCATCTCAATCTCTTGGTAAGAAAGCAGATAAGTAAATATTTCCCAAAATGTATTACTATTACTTAACAATCAGATTTTAGTTTAGCCTTTTTTCAAATATTCCCAATGAGGCTACACCCCTGCATGAACAGTGATTTAAGAGCTGTCAGACTGGAGTTGATTGTACGTGGTGATAGTTTGCATCCTCTGTAGCTGATGTGTGAGCAGCCCTCTGTCCACTGTGCCCTGTAGATGCCGTGCTCCACAGTGTCAGCCACAGCCGATCTCTCCTTCAGGCCCTCTCTCTGTCTAAATCTCTGTCTCTGCTCCAACCTAGTAGTAAGTACTGGACACCTGCAGCCGTCACACTGCGCTGAGGCCCAGCGTCAGTGTCAGTGTCAGTGTCAGTGCTTATGTGTGTGTGTGTGTATGTGTGTGCGTGTGTATGTGTGGGGGCGGGCTGACTTGATTCAAATGCAAAAGATCTTTTAAAGTGGCTATAATCAATGCTTTTATATTAACAATGGGCCATATAACTAATACATGACACCTGACCTGCAGTTCCCCTTGTGGCATGTTTTAGCTCATTGTTTTGGTTTCACAGCCCCTAAAACTTTACTGTTTTGGTTCATTCTCACCGCTCTCATCAGCATCTTTTCCCAACGTAGGCAGCTGTTTTTTAATGATACAGTTTTGATACAGTCACTTGCACCTATACCACCTGCCCAGCACCAAACAGCAGATACACAAAGTTAGCAACTATCTGGTGAACATAGTGGAGCATTTAGCAGCTAAAAAGCCAGATATTTTCTTCAGGAGCAAAAAAGAGCAAAGTGAACGTGAATATTGAATTTACATTCATCAAGTGGCCAAAAACATGACTCCACTGAATGCTAATGTTGCTCCATAACTACCAGATGTTGCCTGGTTCAAATATAACCAAAACAGAAACATGATTCTGAAGTTTTGTTTTTATCCTCCTGTGTGGAGAGAGCAGGACTTTTTATCAGAACTGCCACTTGCTCTCTAAATTTAAGGGCTTTTATTTAACATTATTTAAAAACACAAAGGTTATAATATATTTGAAATGTTAAATCTGTGGATATTTATCCAAGAAAAAGCTCACTTTGAAGTACCAAATCATGAAAAACTAAACTAAAAGTAAAAATCAGCTGGAATTAGACAGGTGAATTAAAAAAACAACGATCAAAGTACAAATTAAATTAGAATCGTGTAACTGTAATAACCTTGGTGTGTGTTTGCATGGCTGTCCTAATCATGGCACAGCTTTATCGTGATTAGAATAGGAGTGGGAGTGCAAGAAGAAATCACAGTTGCAGTGACATAAATTTGCAGCCTGGTGAGGGACGTGAAGTGTCTCTGAGGGCTCAGCGCTTTGTGTCTGTCTGTGCTGTTCTGTCTTTGTTTACATGCCTGTGGATCATCTCTGTTGCTTTGCATATCAAATGTGGTTGTATTCAGATGCTTCCATATGAACCTGTTCAGACGGTGAACAGCTTTTTTATACATTATATGAAATGTATATATGACTATATAAAATTCTTTCCCAGTCTGAGTAAATAAGAATGGATGAATTTGTTATGCTGCCTGAGTTTATCTGTTTTTTTTATGGATATTTCATGCAATGTTTGCTGTTCATGTCCATTTTAAAAGTGTAGTCAAGTTCTTGAACAATTAGTTTAACAACTTCTCCTCATTCTTTCTGTTCACAGAGCAAAGAGCATTCGGTATATCAGAGCAGTCGCAAGAAAAAAGGTATTTATTTATTTATTATTTTTCCGAATACCAAACGTCTCAGCCTTCCTTATTGGCTTTGCTCATCTGGGCTCTTGCTCTTCATTAAAATGACAGCGTGTTTAATCAGATATGTAATCCCCAGTGCCAAGAGCAACATATGTGCGTAACCATGACGACCGGGTTGCTTGGTGACAGCGGGTACTCTGTGAAGTTTGCTGCCGTCTTTTATAAAGCTCTTTTGTCCTTGTGAAGCAGAGCTGGTTTCGTGTGTGTCACTGTTTTGATCCTCTCTGTCTTCGAGTGACAACAGAGGCAGTGACGTACAGATATCAGTGTGACCCTGAGCTACTTCCAGTCCTGTTTTTAAAGCACAATGTCTTCGCTCTGTTTTTCATCTATGGCTTACAGTGTCATCTTGCCCCTGGGAAACTTATTTTCAGATATGACCGGCTGTGTCATGGGTACACATAATGAATGTACTGTATGTTACAAAGCACAGGCAAATTATGGTCAATCAAGTATAACATTTTGAAGACAGTGTTGCTTTATATGGCCTTAAAGGAAAGATCCTTTCCTTTTTTCATTCCAATCAGCCTATTTTCACTGTTGAAAGATGCTAATTGATACAGTATTTCCTCTGCCACTTCATGTATACATACCCTAATTGAACTGCCACTCTTCAGTAGCTCCCCCTAGTGGAAGATACCAGACAGAATCAGGGATAAAAGAACAGCAGACAGCATTATTTCCATTACTTTCCATTTCTGTTTTGTTTTCTGTGAAGGGAAGTTTCTTTTTTAATATTCAATTATAGCATGTTTCCTGGGCCTTTGTGGCCTCTCATCAGCATTAAAACGCCAGTGTATGTCCGTGTGTGTGTGCGCTGTCCTTTGCAGGGAGATTAGGTTCCGTAAGCGAGCCCAGTCTGCTGATGATGAGGGCAGCATGGAGCTGGCAGAGTCCCTCCAGCATCTCACCCTGTCTGAGTTCCTCAAAGAGTATGTGTGGGGGGGGTCGAGCCCCGTTCGACTGTTCTAGCATCCTTGACCGTCCACTTCAAACAAATTAATCCTAACCAAAATTTACAGCACGTTTACGCCCTGACAAAACTGCAACCTCCTCTCCTCTCCTCGTTTCGTCTCCTTTTTGTTCCCTCTTGTCTGCTCTCTTCTCCCCTTTCCTCTCGTCTCCTTGTTCCCCCTGTGCTCCTTTCCTTGTTTCCTCTATTCTTCTTGCCTCCTATCCTTGTCTCCTCTCCTTTTCCCCCCATTCTCCTTTTTTTCCTATACTCTCCTTGTCTCCTATCCTCATTTCCTCTTCTCGTCTTGTCTCCTTTTCTTATTTCCTATACTCTCCTTGCCTTGTCTCTTCTCCTCCTCTCTTTTCCATTTCTCCTTACCAAAACTTACAGCATGTTAACCACCTGATGAAACTGCAACCTCCTCTCCCCTACTCTGCTCTCCTCTCCTCGTTTTGTCTCCTGTTTTATTTCCTCTTGTCTGCCCTCTTCTCGTCTCCTCTTCTCCCTTTTCCTCTTGTCTCCGTTTTTTCCCACTCCTGTCCTTATTCCCTCCACTGTCCTTGCCTCGTCTCTTCTCCTCCTCTCCTCTCCTCTCCTCCCCTAGCAGCAGAACAATAATTAAAGTAGGTTGTCTTATATTGTAACACTGTGCACCAAAAGTCTGTCTTTGTTGTTGTGCATGTATCCAGCCTCTAACAATTCTACTAACTTTCCTTTACTTTCAGAGCAAAGTTGCTGAGAATTAACACAATTTTGTGTTTTTTTTTTTAACAGAATTTTATGTCATTTGCTTTCATTAACATTTATTTTAACAGAACCTACATGCTGTGCAGTATCAGATGAAATTATATTTTTGGATAAAATGTTGAAGTTTGAACTAAACACAACCCATGACATTAACCAGTTGTTTGCTGGGCACTATAATCATCTGTATACCTACACAAGTCCATCATACTTGCTCTCGTTGTCCTGTTGATTCAGCAAGAAGAGATTCAGGATGGTGGGACTTTACCAACTAACACACGTCTGCAGACCACGGTTTTAGTATTGTGAGTTATAAAAGACAACTGCGAGGTTGAGAACTTGCTCTGACTTTGTTTTCATTCTCCATCAGAATTGAAGAGGAGGAGTTAGATAAGTACAACATCCCGACAAAGGTGGAGTCAGAGAAGTACAAAGTCATTCGCACCTTCAGTTTTCTCAAGAGCCGGATGTCCAGTACCCGCAACAAGACCAAGGTAAACCACCAACATTCCACACCTCTGTGGTTACACCCATTAAACACAAAATCTAAATTAAAACTGGAATATAAAAATTACTGAACAAAACCTAGACAGGTATATATTAGCTGATTAAATTGTACTTATTTATGCCTTTAGAAGTATTTGTAATAGTAGATTTTTTTGTAAAAGCCTGTGTCCCCAGGTCTAGACTCAGGTATGGAATATGTGACTCGGTATGTCTGCTCTGTGGGAGACACAACCAGGAAATGTTTCTGGGAATAACTCAAGGTCAGAGTGACAGACCAAACATGGTGTCTGGCCTCTTTCCTTTCAATGATTAATCCTCTGTTGTTAAGTCAGCACAGAGACTGGAAGCCCTCCCCGACATGCATATGCTGTTTACGCTGCCCTCCATTTCCTTTTCGGTGGACTTTCATACGGTTTTGGAAAAAGGCGGGGATTCCTTCCAGGCTCATATATTTACTTACACGTGGGAGAGTTTACTCTGCAAATAGAAACTTGACAAAGATCTTCACTCCGGTGTACAAAAATATGAATTAAGGCCTGCTTTGCTCAGAGTTCTTGGCTGTAGTTGTCAGTCACGTTTGGTTTCTGTCTGTATGGCCTCTTTGTTTACGCCTATGTCTCTGGCATGGTTCTCCAAGGCGAAGGGGAAGGACAGAGAGGCCAAGGATAGGCAGCTGAATGGACATCGGTTTAACACAGGCTCCTGTTTAGGCCCCACCGTGTGCATGGTGTGTGAGAAACCAGCATCTGGAAAGGACCTGCTGCATTGCTCAAGTAAGTAATAATGTAATTCCAGTGGTGGAATGCAACCAAGTAATCAACCTCCAAATGAGTGATTTGAGGTACTTTACTTGACTTACTTGACTTGTTTCTTTCTACTTCTACCCCACTACATTCTTCTGACAGCTTGTATTGTACAAATATGATGATGAATATGATGCTTTGTTATAAATTAAACTACCCAACAGTGTATACAAGTACAGCTGAAATAATCGGTCAATTGATAGAAATGTAATCCGGGAATCATTTTTCATGTAAAAACGTGTGATGATTTGCCCGCTTTTTGAATTCTTTTAATCAATTTTTAAATAATTTTGAGGTTTGGACTAATGGTTGGAAAAAATAAAAGCATTGTGAAATTTTCAGAATTTTACATCCCAAACAATCTATTTATGGAGAAAATAATCAGCAGATTAATCCATGATGAAAATAATAATAATAAGTTGCAGTCCTATACAAAATAATAGAGAATTATTTCCACCTCAACCACGCAAAAACACATGAGTGATAAAAATCTAACTATTATATTTTGTAGTATTACAGTCACATATGACATTATTGCATTGATACTTTTACTTGTAATACTTTAAGTAAATTTTCCTGATTATACTTACATACTTTTACTTAAATTTCAATGCTCTACTTGTAGTAAAGGTTTTGAACACTTTCTCTACCAAGAGGCTTACCTTTATGTACATTAACTTGAAAATATCTTTCTTCCCCAGGTTGCCCTGCTATTGTCCATAAGGGCTGTAAGGAATCTGTTCCCCCATGTCTGAAGGTGAGTACTGTCTTGAAATATTGGAATAAAAAAATGGTTTCAACTGCTCATCTCTACTGGAGCCTTTTCCTAATCTCAACTGTTTATATGCTGTAACCAGCCTCTCTCATTTGTATTACTTAGAAACTTCAGGATAAGTATGCAGTTACTATGGTGAAGAACAGGACAGCATCCCTCCCACAGAGTGAGTTTACAACACAAGGGTCGACGGCCACAAACAATTTTTCTGTCAAGCTCTTTTGTTTGTTTTGTTGTACCATGTTGTACGAGAAATGTCCTGTTATGTTTTGGTTGCACTGGGGATGGTTATTGTTCATTCTCTTTGCTTTTCCCGCAGATTTCACAGTTAGAGACAATCCTCAGTGTGTCATCCCCATCTCCACCTCTCTACCTGTCATGGCCCCTAAGGAGAGAAAAGACACTGCAACCCAGTTGAGCCCCCTCTCTGGGAGTTTCGCGTACAGTGACAGGTCACAAAGCTCTCAGACTTTAAATTACATGATATGACGTGGGCATATTGGTTAAAACAATAAGGGATAATAATGCTTGTCTATGTTCTTCTCTGTTTAACAGTCGGCTCAGCGAGAGTTCCGAGACAGAGTCTGATGCCTCCAAGGTGACCAGCCGATCAGAAGAGCTCCTGCCGACTCCAGTGTCCTCCACCTCCACTGACTCATCCTTTGGAGAAGGTATAAGGCTCATTGTATTCACTTTTTACAGATTTCCATAGACAAATACTTAATTTATGTCCTCACACAACCAAACATTAATTTGTTTCCTACTGTGAGAAGATGCTGACTAATGTAGTTTACAAGGTCCTTTTGTAACCAGCACAGCTCAGAAAAGCATCGGGTACTAGAAACTGAAGAAAAAGTGGGGAGAAAATGCAAATAAGCTGCTGACTATGCGTCTATCAGTATAAATGTTATTGTAACGCAAAACAGAAAATGGTTGGACAGACTTAAAGATAGAAATGTATTATTTTAAAATTGTAATTTTCTGACATTGCTTTTTAAAAACAAATGAGACGATTTGTGAGTAATCCATAGTGTTACAAATTAAAGCCACATGACACCGAAATATTACAAGTAAAACTTAATTATTGTCTGATCAATGGGTGAGGAGCCTATGTATGTTTTGGGAAAAACATAAAATCTGTTCAAATTGGTTTGTATTTGTGGAATGTATGAATACCTTAAATTACTCACATTTCATTATACACTTTTTATTATTTGTAAATAATTTGTTTACTATTATTAATATTTGTTACTGGTATTATATAATTAGACCCAGTAATAAAGAAGTAAATTGAGATGGGTGAAAGTCTCAGTAAATGTTATGAACATTGACTAATCTGAATCCTCTCCCTCCATAGACTGCGTGGATGCTTATATCCACAGCGACATGTCAGTTGATGCTGTGGATTACGAGGCTGAGTCATGGAGTCTGACAGTAGAGCACAAGTTCTGCAAGAAGCAGGATAAACGAGCTGTCAAGAGGCAGGATGTTATCTACGGTAAGCAGATGTCAGAGTTGTGAAAGAAGACCACTGGAATGTGTCATTTTCTGCCAGTGTCAGTATATCATATATAAAATTGTTGTATTCAAATATAATTGTCCTAAATTCCTACGATTGAGTAACAGATAAGGATATAATTCATGTCTTTATGTGACACACACATTGAATTTTTACATGTGTGACCCCGATGCAGAGCTGATGCAGACTGAGCTTCACCACTTACAGACGCTACACATCATGGCCGAGGTTTTCCGGCGAGGTATGAAGGAGGAAGTGCAGCTGGATACAGAAGCGGTGGAGCGGGTCTTCCCCTGTCTGGACCAGTTGCTCCTCTTCCACCACGCCTTCTTTGCCTCCATGAAGGAGCGCCGACACAGCTCAGCACGGCCGCAGGGACACAGGAACTACCTCATCCAGCAAATCGGAGACGTTTTGCTCCAGCAGGTTAGCCGGTCTTCTGGGACTGCCTTTCTCCTAGGTGTAATAAATGGAAACCAGTGAGGGTGTGAATCACTGTGTGTGTGTTTTGTTGCAGTTTTCAGATGAGAACAGAGACAAAATGAAGCAGGTATATGGAGAATTCTGCAGTCGTCACAACGAAGCGGTCAGCTTTTTCAAAGAGCTCCAGCAGCATAACAAGAGATTTCAGAACTTCATTAAGGTACTTAACCTTCCCAGAGCATCTCTTTTAAAAATGTATCCTGCTTTCAACCAAACTAAACTAAAAGAATCAGTTCCTGCCTGCTTGGGGAGATGTAGTATAACTCTTGATGTTACTTTTTCAAGCAACAAGGTAATAATTCTTTGGTGAGACGGAGGGAGATCCCAGAGTGCATTTTGCTGGTAACCCAAAGGATTACAAAGTACCCAGTGCTGCTGGAAAGGATCCTACAATATACTCAAGGTCAGTCATCTACTGCCCTCTGCTGGCTACACGGTCATATGGTCATAACAGCACAATACACAATTTTGCATTTGGAAATGTACAAGTGAAACAAGATATCTCTCTTAGTCTTCATGTATTTTTCCTTCCTCAGAGGAAACAGAGGAGCACACCGACATTTCCAAAGCACTGTCTCAGATTCGAGAGGTGATCACGGCCGTGGACCTGAGTGTCAGTGAGTACGAGCGGCATCAGAGGTTACAGGAGGTGTGGAGCCGCATGGAGAACCGCAGCGCAGCCAAGCTTAAGAACGGCAACACCTTCCGCAAGCAGGACATGATGGGGCCGGGACAAACGCTCAAACACCAGGGCCTGCTCCTGTGGAAGACTGCCACTGGTCGGCTCAAAGGTGACACTGGCATATGCTTTGTTGTTTGATTTTTTACACACATCTGCATAATATGAATACATGATGAGGCTGATAATATGACAATGTTTTCCTGCCTATCCTCACTTCCATAGATGTGCTGGCGCTCCTTCTCACAGATGCACTCATCTTCCTGCAAGAAAAAGACCAGAAGTATACATTTGCCACCGTGGTACGCACGCATTAATTACAAGGGATAGATCTCGAAGAGACAAATACCGAGCTATAACAGCAATCAGCTGTGTCTCTGTTATGATGTTACACGCTATTACCTGTTCTGTTTTATCTTGTCACATCATGTAATATATTATTCCTCCACACTTTTAACATGCTCCAGGATCAGAAGCCTCCAGTCATCGCCCTGCAGAAGTTAATCGTGCGAGAAGTAGCAAATGAGGAGAGAGGGATGTTTTTGATCAGCGCATCAGCCGCCGGGCCAGAAATGTATGAGGTTCACTCATCATCCAAAGAGGAACGGAACACCTGGATGAGGCTCATTAGAGAGGCTGTAGAGAGGTGTGTAAAAGTCTGTGTTTTATATCTGTGTGTGTAAACTGAGGAGAAGGACGCCGTTGAGTGCTACATATTCAGATTTCACCAACAGTTTAACCTTCAGTTACTGTTTTCTTTCCTCAGCTGTCCGGAGGAAGAAGAAGAATACACAAGTGAGTCTGAAGAGGAGAAACGAGCTGCTGAAGCTCGTATTCAGAAGATCAATAAGTTCCAAGGTATTCAAGGTCTTTATACTGTTGAATGGTTTTTCTTACCCTTGAGTTAACATTTTACAATACACCATCTGTGAACCCTGTGAACTTGTGTACCAGAGAGTCTAACGAGCCTGGACCAGCGGATCTGCTCCAGCCTGGAAGAGAAGCTGCAGGTCTACACAGAGCTCTCTGCTCTGAGTGGGAGGACGGATGCTTCGCTGGTTGAACCGCGACTGCTCGTCCAGCCGCACTCAGAGGAGCTGCCCCAGGCTGCCGTGTTGCTGGCTGCAGCTCTGCAAGAGGGTGAGACATTTTATATATACTGTACACTGCAGAAACAAACACAGACAACACAGGACAAGAACGTGAAAAGAGAAGATGTTAAAAATTGGTATTGCAAGATGTTTTGCCTTAAAAGTGAATTTAACACTTTACCTTAACCCTCATGTAGCATTTACAAGTACTATATACTCATTATTATTATTATTACTTAATGGGATACATCACATAGGCACTTATAGTAACTTTTTTACCCCCACGATTTTATATTTTGTTCATTAAATATTTTAGAATAAAGGTTAGTTTCTCCATACACTTTATTTCATGACAATTGCAGTCTAGTCGTTCTTGGTCGGAGGGTATTTTAAAGATATATTCATCCTGTGGTATACATTTATTCAGGATTTTGCTCAGGTATATGTAACAAAAAAGGAACTCCTATTACAAATCTTTCCATCATCTCTTGTCAGCATGAAAAAATTATGGGGACAAGCCCAGAAAATCTAAAAATTATTGATGTAATTTTCTTTGTACTTGAGAACTTTGTTTGTATGATGTCATCAAATAATGAGTTATGTTCTTCCAACAGAACTCTTAGTCTCATATTTAGTTATTTTAACTGATTAAGCAGCATATGTAGTTTTACACTTGTTTTTATTCTGTTTTCCAGCTGAGAACCTGAAAGTCACACTGTCATCCAAGGCCTGTTCTCCATCGAGTCCCAGCCTGGACTCGGACACAGACTCTGTGTTTCCTGTCAGCCCTGCTACACTTGCACACTCTCCCTCAGACTTTGAGGCTTCACCCGAAAACCCTGAGACCAGTGATGGGAGTTGGACAGAGGCCTTTGTGCTTCAGTCCCCAACTCTCTTGCAAACAGACCGGGATGACATCAACTTCAAGGTACAGCACAGTGGCTGGTATAGAAATTGCATTTAACTTATAGCAATTCTGGTAAGACCTTGTGATATAAATTAAAGTTGAGAATTAAATTGGTGTTTTTGAGGTAAAAATTGATGCAGCAATGTGATGGAATGTTTTCCCCATTACTGTAGTTGTGATGGTGGAGGTACAGTGGTATTGCAGAAATATTATCGGCCATTATAGCCTCTTACAGCCTGCAACATTCTGCACCTCACCTCTTTCCATTTTACCACAGATGTGTGGCTCAAGATTACTAACAGTTGTTTTAATAATTCAGTGCAGCCTAATAGAATTACATTTCAGTCTTAATGTGATGAATTATTGATAAGCTCATAATAAAGGAAGAGGTCCATTTAGTTCCCAGTGGTATTGCTCCATTAAATATAGAAATGGAGACTTATTCCAATTACCATGCCACATTTGTGCTACCGTGTGCAGCTTTTTGTGACCTGTGAGGTAAATGATTTTCTTATCAACTGCAATGTGATAATTTAACTCTAAACTGTGTAATAGGACACCAAGCATCCTCAAGGGGGCGCTAATGTTGCATGAATGTCACTTTTACCAAACGTATCTCTCTCCATGAGCTTGCCATGAGAGGAAAATATTTTGACTTCCCTGTAAGTAGATTGTAATGTGTATTTCATTAACTAGCTGAAACAATGTGCCATTTACATGAAATCCTCAAAATCCTGCATGGATAACACAGCAGGCTTGTTAATCTGCAGGTTGTGTGCGATTATGTCTTCTTACAGGTTGCTCAAAGTGTCCAAAGCCTGACTCAGTTACTCTACAGTCTGCAGGTGAGTGCATTACTCAGTATGCAGCTACTTTTCATCCTGCTCACAGCCGTCATCTGCTGGGTATTATTATCCGGTCAGTAAGTCAGTAAACAAACAAACCTCTTATGTTCTCACCGAGAATGTATGCATGCTATGTTAGTGTCATACCCAGTCAAGATAAAGGCTTTAATATACCTGCACACTCCAGCTTCAGTAAACAGAGAACCAACTCCGCACTCTCCGCAGCTGTTTGAAGCCAAAGGAAGCGTGCTACAGGAGCGAGAATCCCACTGATCTTTTTTTCTCCTCGGAGATATATGAGGGTCTTTTGTTTCACTATTCACACAAACACTACTCTTTGGTATAAAATGTAAATTTGTATAGAGAGAACATGTGCGTGTGTATTTGCATAAGGGTATGTGTGTGCGGGATTCTGTGTGAGTTTGTCGTTTTGATCACAACGATATTTTCATATTCAAAACTCCTGTATATGAAGCTAAAAACCACAGTGCTACCAGTGGCGGTGGGATTATTTCACCATGTAAAGAGAGGCTGTTGCCTTATCACATAAAAAGTCAGGGCACCCAGTAAAACCTGATCATGATTTCCACCACATTTTGCCATTCAAATTACCTTCTCTTACTGCCTGTTGTGAGGAAGCCCACGTGGTTTAAGTGGTGGTTGAACCTTTGCATCTTCATGAATCCCATCTCTCTGCCTGTCCTTTCTATGCCAGGCTACAGTGACCATCCAGGACAGCTGCTACGAGGTCCAGAGGCTCCTCCTCCAAGAGACTGGTCGGCCATCCCCACGCGTGCAGCGACCGCACCTTCCAAGCATCCGGGGAAACACCCTTCAAGAACAGGAAAAGCAGCGTAACCTGGAGAAGCGGAAGGAGGAGGTGGTGGCGGCTCAGCGTCTCCAGGACCGGCTGCGCCAAGAGAAGGAGCGCTGGGAGAGGGAGTGCCAGGCCAGGGAGAACCAGCAGGGGGAGCAGGAGAGTCGGCTGGAGGAGCGGGAGAGGCAGTGCCACCTGGAGGCGGAACGGCTGAGGCACGAGAGGGAAGAGTTGGATGAGCAGCTGGAGGAGTACCAGCAGAGCCTGGAGCGTCTCAGAGAGGGCCAGAGGAATGTGGAGAGGGAGCGCGAGCGGCTGGAGAACCAGCAAAAGCTGCTCCAGACCTGGAGGCATGGCCGGCAGAGGAGTCTGCCCACTGTGATTCCTCACATGGTCATCCCTCTAGATGTGCAGCAGGTAGGGGGGGGGGCATCCAACTGAGAGCTATATTCTGATATTTAATCTGAGGCGTTAGTCGAGGACTCTGTAATGCTCCTGACTAAAACTCCTGACCCTGACATGAGTGTGAGGTGGTTATGGAGTGTTTATGGAGTATTTCTTGGCTAAATGTATTAATGAGAAGCTTTTCTCAGACAGCTTTCAGCCTGAGTTAAGTTGGTTCACTCATTTACACAGAGCTGCTCAATCCACTCTTGATATACGACCTGCGATAATGAGAGCAATTTCAGCATCATTTGTCTTAGTGCTCCAGCAGCTCCACTCACCAATAAACATCTTAATGATTGATGATAATTAAACCGTTGCAAATAAAAGCTCCGACAAAATAATTAAAACCACAGGCACGCAGCCCAAGAAACCAATCAATCGTGTCTGAGAGGACTTAAATTATCAACTCTTTGTTTGAAAAGCACTACAGTGAAATGTCCCCCACAGCTGGAAGGCATGAAGGATAAAGGGTGCACTGTTCTCCATGCCCTTTATGTCTCAGTGTACCTCACATGCGCAAGCAGCAGCGGTGAAACTAATATAGCACATACATCTATGTGAGCCACTGCTGGGTACGGCTTTGTGCTGCTCAGTTCAGCAGGTGCGACTGTTCAAAAGACGCACACAGGGAGCAGTCGAATGGACAGACAAATGAGCAGACTCGTGTTACAATATTCCCCCTCTCCCTCATTAATTTACACAGCACCTTGGGCTTTTTTTAGACTAGACTTGATGAGGCTCTCCTGGCTTTTTGCAAACTTATTTATTTCTATTCATATATTTTAGCCAGTGTGGAGGCTGCATTAACAGCAGTGGTCTGACAAAGGCGTGCGGGGGCCGTACATATCCTAATGTTCCCATGCTAATGTTTTAGCCAGAGGCAGCAGTTCACAGGGTCAGAGACAGATCGAATGACGTACACACACACACACATATACACACACACCGTGTCTCAGGTCATTTCTAATTAGCTATGTTGCCTCCGCTCAGCAGAGGAAAGGAGGCCATGTTGATGGAAAGATGGAGCTGGAGAGAGGGGGTATTAGGAGAGGACAGGAGAAGGGGATGCGAGGCCTTGAGCAATCTGCAGCAGTGACACCTTTCACTGCACATTAAAGAGTCACTTCACCCAGATGACTAAACATTTTTTTCCACTCACCTCCGGTTGTATTTGGTCATGCATTTTAGTTGTGTATGCCCAGGGTTTGAGATATCCAGCGCTGAAAGTATTTTTTCAGAAATAGCCTCTGCATTATTCTGGACAATAGTCCCTATAAAAACAGTGAAGTCGGATCAGAGTAAGTCATTTTTAAATGCTGTGAGGCACAAGTGAAATTCTATTCACTTCCACTGCATTTAGGTGGAGGCTGAAATGTCAGACACAGATATCTAAAAGCCTGGACAAATAAAACCAAAAAAAAAAATATATATATAAATACTATGTATCTATACTAGATTTTTGGTGAAGCACCCAAACCACCCTTTTTAATTACAGTTTTAGAGAAACTGATCCAAAGGTCTGTTAACAGAGCCTTTTATAGGTACCTGTTAAATAAAATGTGTTTCCTGCTCCCTCATGCAAATGCCTCAGTGAATTACAAAGGTGCATTGTTGAATGGTTTCACAGGTGTAGAAACCATGCAGTCCATCAGCGTTCCTGCTTTAGAATCTCTCATCCAGGAAAGACTATGAGCTTCATCTGATTGTCAGTTGGCTGTGCTCTTGATATTCATCTTTCAGCTTTGTTGCAGAATGTGACCGTGACATTTCCTCTCTCCCTCAGGACTCAGCACCAAGTCAGTCCAGAGACCACGCTGGTAATGGCTCCGTGTTTGTGAATGAGGCCGCGTTCGCCGGCACCAGCGTCAACAACCGCCACGTCCACCACAAAAGAATCGACCCCAGCGCGCACAATTGTCTTAACACCCTGCTGGCAAGATCCAACAGCAGACAGAGCCCCATAGCTAAGACTCCCCTCAGTCCACACTCAGAGTCCCAGGGATGGGTGATGGGGTCAGGATACCTCTACAGCCCTGCAGGAAGGCTGGGACTGCAGCACGCGCCGAGTGGTAAGAATTACCCCCAAGATCATGTTTTAGCATCTATTGTAGAGGGGAAGTTTAAAGCAAAACGCAAATTGAATGACAACTAGGGGCTCATGAGGGATCATATTTAATACATGCTGTGTGAGATGGTTTCATATATGTATTCATATTGGCCTGGTGTGTAGACGAGGGCTGTAACTAAGAATAATTTTCATTATCTGCTGATTATTTTCTACATTAATCGCTTATTCAAATTTCTTGAAGCTCAAAGTTAAAATATCTTGTTTTGTCCAACGATCAGTCCGAAACCCAAAGATATTCAGTTTCACATCAAGAAAGATTATCTTTCCCCACCTTTTGGGCTTGTGACTCCTTAAAAAAGCAGTGTTTACTTGTATCCAGGCATCACAGGTGTTAGAAGTGTAAATTTTTACCTCAACATTTCTCAGATTGTCTCATTTGAATACATTTCTCAGGCACAAAGAGCTAAAACTATCACATATAGAAGAGCATAAAAAAATATATAACTATAGAGAATGTTTGGTGGTTTTTGCATTAATAACCGATTATTTTTCTGCCCATAAACTAATTGATTAATTGACTATTT